GGGAGTAGCTTCACGGGCGCGGACAAACTTCAACTCGGCTGCGCCTGCCCAAAGGAATGAGGGATTCTTCTACGGCAACACCATCACAAAGCTGTTCGAGCACATTGCCCAAATCGTCGACGGTCATGAGCCGCTGGTAGAGCGCCACTATGGACCAGGCATGATGCAAAAGGTCATTGAACGTTTGCAGATTGAGGCTGATGTTCAAGGTGGTATCGTGCTTGATACATGGCACGAGGAACGCCACATTGATCGCAAACTTACCGATATCAAATCATATGCCTTTTCCTTCCTTGTCCAAAGCTTCCTGCCTTCCCAGAAACCTGCCGCCGGAACACCGCGCTCTAGCTCTCCAGCCAACGGTGCTGGCCGGGCAAGCGAGGATGAAGGAGTGGACATGAAAGAGATTGACGGTTTGCTTGGAGAGGGCGCGCTGATGCTGGGACGCTATGCCTTGTATGCGCGGTTCCTCTCAGACAAGTGCGCAGTAAGTGCGGACACACGTGTGTATCTTCATTAGCTTACCCTAGCAGCCCTCCGAACCTGAAGACCGCATCGACTACGGCTTGGTGATGCCCAACTTTCTAGCTACTAGTAACCTGCACAAGAAAGTCAACAGCCATCTCATCGAGCCTGTCAATGCCATGACGACCTTCTTCTTCCGACGATCAGTTGAGAAGGCTTTCCAGCTGGACGAGGCTCCGGCAGATCTCACACTGAATCCTACCAAGCCTCTTGGGTCCAACCCACCTTTCATAACCTCCGCCGTGGACGATGTCATGTACATTGTCAACCAGGTCATCCAGAGAACACTAGCAACTTCGCAACGTGCTGTCGTCTCTAGCGTTGTGCCTGCGGTCAGCCACATCCTAGGCGCCGAGTTCATCGGCATGATACAACGGAAGATGCGCGACGAAAGCTACCCCAAACCCGTCATTCAGGGTGGTCTTCCTCCAGAGGACAAAGTCATTGCGTTCCTGGTGCTCATCAACAATCTCGATATTGCAAACGACTACGTCAAGCGCATAGTCCAGCAGCAACTGGGTCGCCAATCACAAGGCGGCGAAGACGACGTGAAGTCGCCACTACACGACCTCTTCCCATTCGGACATGACGCGGTCTTCGTGGAGAACACGTTGAAAGCAATGGAGAAAGCTTTCGCATCCAAGAGCGGAGATTTGCTCAACGACGGCATCACCGTACTGTTTTCTAACGTATTGAAGCCGCGCATTCGACCCATCCTGGCTGAAGCATTCCGAGATGTGAAATACGATCCCGAGGATGGCGAGAACGAAGACGAAGAGGAGGAGGACGTCGATGTGGTAAAGTCGCGTTTCGATCGCGGCTGGGGAGTCGTGATCCGTCCCATCAAGCGCATCTTGACCTCAGCGAACTTCGACCGACTCCTCGCTCTAGGTCTGAACTCTCTTGCGTCGTCACTTGAGAAGCGCATCAAGAGCTACTATGGTAGGGTGAATGAGTTGGGTGCTGTTAGACTCGAGCGCGACATCTCCGGTATCATCACAGCGGCTACAAGTGGCGGCGCCTACTCACTCCGCGATGTCTTCCAAAAGAGTACGCAGATGACCCTAATTCTCAACATGGAAGACGACGAGTTCGCGGAAGTAGCGGAAGATACATCAGGCGACTCGGGCATACCCTGGGTGTTGGACGTTGAAGAGAGGAAGCGAGTAAGAGCCATCGTCAAAGGCTGATCGGATGGTGCCTGGAATTGTCCTTCCGGAGCGGGGTTCATAGATGGAGGAGCATTCTTGGCACGCAATCTATACAAATGAACCACTGCCATCCGCCTCGGTAGTGGATTATTGTCCGCAAATGATTTCCAGTATCTCCTCGTATCGCGACTGCTCGTGGCACCTTATTAGTACCACGCTGCGATCCGTTGCAACCGAGTGACATGTGGCTCGTGCCGGCTTGGCTTAACTCTCACACCTCTCACGGGGAACATCGCACACGCTCAACTCCATCTTAGCCCATCGGCGATATCCTCTAATCGCTATTTCACTTTCGCATCGAATCGTACCATACTCTTACGTTGCCAGGCGACTATCGGCCCGTCGCGCACGCCACGATGAGGCTGTCACCCGCAAAGATCCTTATCCCTTGCATCTCGCTTCTCCTGCCATCCCTGTCTTCGGCCCAATGTCCGCTCTACCAGAATTACGCTGCGCAATACCACGAACCCTTCACGCAGGGGACGTGGAATTTGAGTTATGCTAGACCGATTGTGCCGTGTCGGACGTATCGGTCGGAAGAGGTGGAGAAGACGATTGAAAGGTTACGAGGTGTTATTAAGGATCCTGATCTTTTTCGTGTATGCGACTTCGCCAGTGCAGTGCTGTCGAGATGATGTGTTGATTTGATGAACAGATTTTCGAGAATACATGGCCGAGTACTTTGGATACGACTATCGCGTGGCGAGGATGGTCAAATACGACTAGCGACCCGGACTCGTTGGAAGGACCTCTCATGAGCATGAAGCCTGAAGAACTGACTTTTGTCATCACCGGGGATATTGAGGCCATGTGGCTGCGCGACTCTGCAAATCAACTCCAAGCATACATCTCGGTTTTGAAACAAGACGACAGTCATGACAGCTTGGCTGGCCTATTCCGCGGAGCTATAAACCTGCAAGCACGCTACATTCTCGAAAACGCATTTTGCAACGCCTTCCAAGCACCGGATGAGAGCGGTGTGGAACACAAGAGCAGCATGAACAGCGATCGCATCACCCCGTCATTCGATTACTACAAAGTCTTCTCCTGCCAGTGGGAACTAGACTCCCTGGCCTCTTTCCTACAACTATCCGTGGACTACGTAACAGCAACCAAAGACTACGAGTTCTTCGAAAAAAGCAGCAACTGGACCAAAGCCGTTGAAGTCGTCTTGAACACGACAGAAAGCATGACAATAGATTCCTACACCGAGGACGGAGAGTGGCAGCACACGCCATACACCTATTGCGCCCCCTACGGCGGCACCCCAATCAACAACTGCAACGGCAGTCCACACAAAGGAAACATCGGCCTCGTACGCTCGTTCCACCGCCCCAGCGACGACGCATGTACATACCAATACCTCATCCCCTCCAACATGATGTTCTCCTCCGCCCTCAACACCTCCTCAACCATCATGTCGCGCATCACTTCGCGCGAGAACCCACTAGCCGCACGCATGCAAGCGTTCAGCACAGCGATAAACCGGGGCGTGGAGAAATACGGTATTGTTAACGATCCCAACTTCGGCAAGGTGTACGCGTATGAAGTCGACGGGTATGGGTCGGTGAATATCATGGATGATCCTAATGTGCCTTCGTTGCTTTCGGCGCCGTTTTTGGGGTACACGACGCTGCGCGATCCGATATACCAGAATACACGGCGAAAGATCTTGTCGAGGGATAATCCGTATTACGCCGTCGGACCTGTGATCACCGGTGTGGCGAGTCCGCATACCTTGCCCGGACGACCGTGGCCCATGGCGCTCATCATGACTATCCTGACAAGCGAGGACGATGATGAGATCGTTCGGAATTTGATGTGGTTGGTGCAGAGTACAGATGGGCTGGGGCTTATGCATGAGAGTGTTCATGCGAGGGATAAGGGCGTGTGGAGTCGGCAGTGGTTTAGTTGGGCGAATGGCTTGTTTGGGCAGATGATACTGGATTTGGAGAGGAGGAAGCCGTGGGTTTTGGGTATGAGCTTTCAGTAGCGGTCCTGGATGATCCCCATCCCCATCATTTGGGGCTTTGTTTGATGTAGTATCAACATATGTATGCCTTCCAACGGACTTTTTCTAGCCACTGATTCCTATGATGTCTACTTAGAGTTCAAAATCTTCGACCTTTGCTCGGATAGAGTATTAACCTGTCGACATAAAGATTAGGAAGCTCAATCATTGCTAGCATTAATTACAAAGATATCTACATAAAGATGAGGAAGCTTGATATTTGCTATTATCAATTACCAAGATGTCTATATAGGCTTAGAGAAACTCAGTTGTTTACTGTCATCAGTAGGCGTTTTGTCTTTGTGGAGATGGCAATAGCCCTTGTAAAAACAGAATATAAACTGACAAGCAATACCAGGAGCCATGCGCACGAACTCCAGATCGGATCAGCGCATAGTCTCATCAGTCTGACGAACCTTGCCAGCGACACTTAGAAGATAGCGAGAGAAGCTCAATGAGTAGGAATGGAAGGTGCCAGAGCGACAAGCAGCAATCCAGGCAAGCAGCATGGCAGCCAAGTGCTGCTTAAGATCCGCGACACCGTAGTCTTGCTCCTTGATCAATCAGAAGATAAGAGCAAGTTCAGGATCGGAGAGGTTGTTCTTGGCGTTTGACGCTAAATCAACGTCGTACTGCACAGCGACGAAATGAATATGACGGCAGACTTCCTCGTGCCACTTCTGCCACATGGTGTTGAAGTTCGGCAACAAGGTAGAAGCCAACCAATACAGACTATGCTTGAGTTGCCACAGACTGCCAGCTTTGATCTTCTCGCCTAGATGACCAGTGCTGGGATCGGCCATTGCACCGAGAAACTCTTTTGTGCGGGGGATGAAAGTCGCAGAGTTCCTGGTGTCTTCGGTCTCGGACGATTGGTCGGGGTAGACAGCATCGACATACTCTTCGAAGGCGGTACGGGCGCGAGTGCGTCTTGCATCTTACTAAGTTAGCATATGAAGCTCTCCAAGCTAGCTGGAGCTGTGGAAGGGACGTGTTCTTTGAGGGGGGCCTTTTGGTCGATGGAGCTGATGGGTCGAATCACTTGTAGACGTCAAACCTATCTATAATTTCATAAGTCTCCTGAGTAGAAACAAATGTATTCATACACGCTATCTAGCCGGTCCGCAATTTATCCCTGTAGCAGCTATGTCAGATTCTTGGCTAACTCCGAGATCAAATTTTGGGCAAAAATGATGCCGCCACGTCGATCCACCTCACGCCGAGACCGTCGGGACAGCAAAAAGACAGCTGAATGATTCAAGCGAGGCTCGAACTCGCGACCTTTCGCGGACTACACATGTGTGAGGCGAACGTGATAACCAACTACACCATCGAACCAACTTTGATGCCAGAATGGAAAAAAAGTTGCAATATATTGCGCGAAAATGCGAAGCAGCGAGGTCGAGAGACGAAGGCGGGGCTGAATGCGGGGCAATAAGCTCTCGTGGCATTGTTGGGTCTCCACTGAGAACTTCGAAGGAACAAATCAAGTATGGACGCAAGTTGCTGACTTGGCGACGATGCACCGCTTGTAACCGGATGGAGCTGGCAGAAGGGTCGTACAGCCCGTCAACATGATGCGAAAGGCTTAGTAAAGGGCGCTGCTTACTTCTACACTCTGCTCATTAGTAAAGCTTCGAGCAAGGTCCTTCCCGTCAAAGCACCCCTCCTTCGTTCAGATCTCTCGAATTTGTTCGTGGACCGTCATGGCTACTCTCAAAGAACAGCTGCCATGGATATCGTTGCCGCTGATCGTCAACGCGCCGATGGCGGGCTTCGCAGGCGGTAAGCTCGCGTCAGCTGTGACACTCGCTGGTGGCCTCGGTATGATCGGAAGTCTACGCAGCATGGACGACTTGCGGAAAGAGTTGGATATCGCGACCGAAGCTTTCAGAACCAGTCCCGAACTATCGGCGTCGCGTGTTCTCCCAGTTGGCGTCGGCTTCCTTCCCTTTGTGCTCAAACTCGAAGACATTCTTCCGGTGTTCGATGACTACAAGCCCGCTGTCATCTGGCTGTTCGTGCCGAAAGATCTGGACGACTACGCGCAATGGGTACCAGCGATACGCAAGGCTTCACCGGAGAGCAAGATTTGGATTCAGCTCGGCAGCGTCGCGGCAGCTCTTCATGTTGCGAAGATCGCGCGTCCAGACGTGCTGTGTCTCCAGGGCGCAGACGCCGGTGGTCACGGCTTCGAGAAGGGCGCAAGCATCGTCTCGCTACTACCGGAGGTGGCCGACGCGCTTGCTGCGGAAGGCTTTCCACATACACCCCTCGTTGCCTCTGGTGGTATCGTCGACGGACGCGGCGTCACTGCAGCACTCACCCTCGGTGCCGAAGGCGTCGTGATGGGGACGCGTTTCCTCGCGTCTAAAGAGGTGAACGTCCATCCGGTGTACCAAGCCGCAGTTCTGGAGGCGCAAGACGGTGGTCAGGTGACGACGCGTTCGAAGCTTTTTGATCAGCTGCGCGGTCCCAACATTTGGCCAGAGCTGTATGATGGGCGCGGGTTGGTGGCACAGAGCCACAAGGACTTCGCGAACGGCATGAGCCTGGATGAGATACAGAAGCTGCACAATGAGGCCGCTGCGGGTGAAGATAAGGGATATAACACGGGCTTGCAAGGGCGTGCAGCAATCTGGGCTGGCACTGGTGTGGGCTTGGTGAAGGAAGTGCAAAGCGCGGGCGAGATCGTGCAGAAGGTGCAAGAAGATGCGAAGGATGTTATGGCTAGGGCTGCGGCGAGGCTGAAGTGAGTAATGATATTGTTTACGTTGCGTCACGCCAAGAAAGTGAAAGTGAACGCGACTGCTTACGGCAGGAAGGCGCAATCGTTGCGACGACCTCGGGAGAAGGCATGACGTCACGTGTTTAGTCGCAAACTTTCGGATCTTGAAAGCACAGGAACAAAAGATTAGATTTGTCTGTGTTGCAGGGCGTCGGACCACTTTTGCTCGCTGGTTGTCGCGTCGGCTCGACTCCTTGATCAGCTGATGATTTCATTTCTTCTCTGTTCGATTGCGGCGTCGCACCTCCCTACACGTAGATTAAATACCCAACACCTGGCGCATCCTGTTCATCCAGCACCTCTGCTCACTTCAAAACTGACAAAGCTTTCTCATCCCTCTCCACCATGTCAACTTCTAAGGATATCCCAACGTTCGATAGCCTCCGCTCTTCTGGCACCATCGTTCTGTCCTCTATGGACATGCTGCGAGTGCGCTTGTCGCTCTTTGGGTCTTTGGAGTCTTCAGTCGAAGTTGCGGACACTCACGACCCAGACTCTAAATGTGAACCATACACTACCGACGGTCATTCCTTTCACAAGATCTCCACCTCGCCCGCAACGGAACCACCGGTCTCGTCGATCAGCAGCATACACATAGACGATCTAGACACATGGGGATACAGATGGGAAGGAGAGCATCGGTGGGATAACGAGGACAATCAAGAGTGGGTCGAAACCGAGAACGATGAGGATCGGGCGCTTTTGCGCTGCTGCGGCATGGCTTGCCCACCACCTCCGCTGTCCCTCGAGGTGCTGCCTACTACGCATCCCTTCGTTACCGTGCACGATTACATCACTCAAGTCCATGCTTGGATCCAAGCTCTCAAACCAAGCATTCTGGAGGCCCTGTGCGAGTCGCGCTCTCCTTCATCGAGGTTTTACATCAGCTTGATGTCCCTGAAAGTATTGATTTATGAGGAGGACTTTCGGGCGGACAGACTGTGGAAATCAGTTGAGCAACATGTACGACGACGCAGAGACGGCACGATGTTTTCTCGAATACGCAATCATAACACAGTATTCGCAAGTCAGTAGCGCTGACGTTCATAATTCACGTGTTGGGTTCCAAGTCTAGGTGTCTGCTAAGTTGCACGACTTGCATATTGCGAATTTCTAGTTGTGCCAGAGCTGTCTGGTGAATTTTGCTAGACTAGTTTTATTATCCGTCTTTCATATCCACCCATTACCTCTATGAACCATTTGATCCTTTCATCACGTCGCTCTTCATCTGTCCACGTCTGCTGTACGAAAGTACCGCGGACCGTCTTCGTGTCAGCCATACTTGGCGACACATGTAGTGTACCTACTCCTGCTCTTCTGTATACTCCGGGACACTCTTCCATCACTAGTAGCGCATTTTGTCCCGTACCAGGTTGTTGAACACCGAATCTCGGAGCAACCAATGGTACAGCAAAAGCCTCAAGAGGAGCGTCATGGTCGTGACTATGAAGCTGTAGATTATCCCACTTGCAACCGCCCATGGTTACATATCCATATCCAACTGCCGCTATGTAGTCATAAACACCCCCCTGCGTTTTTAAATCGCTTTTGCACAGCTTTATGATAGGTGCCTGGAGTATAAGAGAGGCATCAACAATGTCGCCAAGAATTGGGGGACCTCGAGTATTGTAGGTGACTTGGATAACCTCAGTACAAGGTATATGCTGGCAGTATTTCGGAATCGCCCACAACCAGTGTACCGGACGCATCGATGATGCCCACGACCAGCTTGGTATTCTTCCAGGTTCAATTGGATAATCAGGCTCGAGATGGTTATCTCCCCGAACACAAAACCAGAGTAGATCGATTAGGAGCGTGTCCTGCCACAAACCAGCTATGTATCGGGATTTAACATGTTGTGCCTGGTAGCGGCTTGCAAAAGCAGCAATAGCAGGCAATCTATCTTTCCCGAATGTGAGGTTCCGCCAGGAGTAGCCGCTCACGATCTGATACCAAGCTGTCGATGGGTGTACGAAGACATGTGTTGGTTGTCGAGCTTTTTTCTCCGGATCTCCTTCTGAAACCATCTTCTCTAGGCAAGACCACACAACTTCCTGGCTACCGAAATGGAGAACTCTCGGCGATAGACTGAGTTCCTGGAAAGTCCACCCACGTTTGTATAGTGCCCATCCATCGTCTGTCTTGCTGCGATAACCTTCATCTTTGGCATCAGGCAAACGAAGCGCTTCGCGGACGTTCACCCATGGGATTTTGGGCAAAGGAGAAACCATGCGAGGTCTTGAAGTTGTACTGAAAAAGCCCTGGGACGCGTTCTGCGCTGCGACCGCAGCGATAGTCACATATGAGTTCTCGTAAATGTGAGCCATGAGAGAAGCTTGCTCACGCCAGTCTTCGTCATCGCCCTGCACTATGCAAAGGCTGTCGATCCATATATAGTTGATTCCAAGCTCTTTGCAGACTACCAGTGCATCTTGATATGTCTTTGGAAGGACCTCAACCTTCACACCACTTTTGATATGGGCATTCCGGTTTTGAATGGTGGTCTGAATTAGATTCTTTCCGTCTCCCCAACAGTAGCTCAAGCAAGCATATCGTTCGGGTTCCACGCCCTCGATGAGTGTCACATGTCCGTTGTCAATGCGAAGGAACCTGATGCCGCTAAGAGCTCTTTGTTGTGCACCACCTCCTCGGCATCCGGAATGATCTGACATACATTCGCTCATCCAAGCCCTGATAGTGTCGAAAGTTGAACTCGATGATGTTTCTCCGGGCAGTAGAGTCACCGGGGCCGTAGCATGAAGAGTAGTGACTATCTCGGATGTTTCTGCAGGCCTAGTCAGGCTCCCCGGCTAAAAGACCCTCTATTGCAGCGAGGAAAAGACGTACCTGAGTCTTTGCGTAAGCACTCGAAATCCCGAGGATCGGGGGCTGCCTGCTTCCCAACATCATCATAGTGTATGGTGAATTTACCCTCTTGCCTAAGAGAAATCCAAGTTGGTTGTGTTTGTGTTATCGTAGCAGCCCATTCAAAACAAACTTCTGCTAACAAGAACCACAAACAATCGCCTTCGAGGTCTACTTCACGCTCGCCAATCGATCCAAGCATGTCCTCAGGCGCTATGGCGATTATTCCATGGAAACATTTGGTGCAGCTATGGTCAACCAAATCTGAGTAAGAAAACATAATCAAGCAGGTAAGCGGTATTGGAGGGTGGGGAGTATGAGCAGCACTGCACAGCCTCAAGAGCTAAGTCGCTAGTGCTCACTTAGGGCTAGCGTATTCCAGGGCTTGCAGTGACACTCGTGGACAAAACAGCCTAATCTAGTCGTATGAAAGTGTGGATCTCCCAACCAAGGTGTGAAAATATGCGTGCGAAAGGATTTCGGAGAGATAGATGGGCGGAACAAGAGTGTCGGCGGAAAGAAATAACCAAGTTCAGCTATTGAATAGATGGGAAGAAGTTACAATTAGAGTATCGTTCCAGATACACACAACCCCACTACAGCCACCAACCAGTGCAACATACCCCTCACCTCGGGTGCATGCCTGACCGCAGCACCGGTGAACTCCAAAGGAGCCGTCTGCTGGACGGGCGCAGCGCTGGCATTACTCGGCACCAAAAAGCCAGCCGCCATAGTAACTACCGGTGCCGGCGGCGGTAGGTTCTCTGTCGCAACAGCCGGTGCGGATGCGATTGGTGTTGTCGAAGCGACGGAGGAAGAAATTACGAGAGAAGTTTCGGACGCGCTCGACAACGCCGGAGACGCTGAAGAGGCTGGGCTTGCGGAACTCGATATGTTGAAAGTGGGAATGAACGATGAAGATGGCGATGCAGATGAAGCCTGAGTTGCGGATTCAATCGACGACTCCATCGACGAAGTAGGGACGATAGCGGCAGATTGGCTAGCCGTGCTCGAAGCCAAAGTTGTTGCGTTGCTTGTCGCAGCCTCCGATGTAAGAGCAGCAGGGCTCGAAGTCTCGAAAGCTGAGGACGCGCTCTCGGAAGCAGTCACTGTGATTTCTGCTGTTACCTTGGAAGTAACGTAAGCTGTGCTTGTGACCTCCACAGTCGAAGTACTCTCGGCTGATGTTGTCGTGTTGTTGAGCAACGATGTTGCTGACGCGGTGTACTCATTAGCCGGGGCTGTTGTAGTAGCCTGCGACGATGTCGTGGACACAGCATAGCTCGTTAGGGCCGAATTGGAGTTCAGCAGAGAACTAGTGCATGGCGCAGAGACTATTTCGCTTGCCATAGTCGAAGTAGTGTTCAACAGCGACGTTGCGTACGCGGTGCTGCTTGCCACAGCGGAAGTACTGTTCAAAACAGCAGTCGTAGACACCATACTACTCATGGCAATGGAAGTGGTGTTCAGGAGCAAAGTTGTAGACATGGTGCTACTCATCGGTGTCGAAGTAGCAATCGACTCTGCGGAGGACGGGACCACGTCGCTGGCGAATATGAAGGTGACATTTGGCATCAAAGTCGGAGCCGCAGCCATCTCACTAGCAATACTCGCTGTAGTCTTCGCTGTAGTGTCTGCAACTGGCGTTCCAGATACGGTCGCGCTGAACAAGGATGTCATGTTGCCTTCTAGCTTTGGCGCCGCGGTCATGTTGGCTTCCAGCTTTGGAGGCGCGGATGTAGCTTCAACCATCATCGGCGGAGGCGGAGGCACGATAACGCCTGTAACGTTGTCGAAAGCATTCTCAGGCGCTGCGCAGCCGGACAGTAGAGGGAAGACGGCTGTGAAAATGTTCTCCTGGACACCGACTGCATTGAAAGGCGGTGGAAGGATCGGTATCGAAACATCGAGAGCGATATCGATCGAAAGGGAGACATTGGCTTCGACCAAAGCAAGAGGGCCCAGGCTTAGAAGTTCGGGTGGGAATTCTGTTGTTTGGTTGGCGAATGGCGCATTCGGTGCTGTAGCATTGCTGCTGTTGCTGACACCACAGTTCTCCGGGATGTTGCTCGACAGCTTCGCGTCCAGACGGGGTAAGTTCAACGATGGTGTGACTTCAGCTTTCAGCTGATCCAGAAAGTCGAAACCAATCGGTATGGCAGGGACGAACGCGAGGCCAAGCAAGATCTCTGCGTCAGTGATGTTAACGTTGACGGGCAGCGGAGTGAGACTCGTTTCCTGGAAGCCAGTAACGCGGCTGCTGGCAAGATCAGCAAGCTCCACTCGGATACTGGAACCATCAGGGACCTGAGAGCGTTAGTATCTCCATAACAACCATGTGGGAAGATATGTACCGTAAGCTGGAGTCCGTAGTTGACTTCAAGTGTACCGCTGATGTTAAAGTCAAAGGCGAGCCTCGGCTCAAAGATAGCTCCAGCCTTCCCAATCCCCGGAATTGTAAAACCAGCAATAGGAAGTTGGAACAAAGCGATCTCGAACTTCCCAGAGCTGGGCGGTCTAGCGAACAAGTCCAGTGTTGCACCAACGCCAGTCGCCACAAGCTCTACGAAACCACCACTGATGACGTGCGAAATCTCTTTGCCGTCGTCACCGCCTTCGAAGATGTCCGGAATGAGGTCGATTTGGGAAAGATCGATGTTGAAGGCACCCTGTGAAAGGGCGATCTGCCCACTTGTCGCGCATCGCTTGCATCCAATCTCGATCGGCAAGGGCACATCAGGTGCTCCAACAAGACCAGCAATACCCGAAAGAAAGGCTTCGACCGGGAAAGTGGTGTCGAGAAGCTCTGATGATAGGTCAAAGGAGACAGTGTTGACATCGTCGGGAGTGTCTGCCGGTATGTCGACCTTGTTCTGTCGCTTGTTACGAATCCTGGCGAAGTCGGAATGGCGTCGGTAAATATGATCGTCTGTCGTGTGGCCGAACGATATGTCGACATGATCAAATGCTGCTCGCCATGTTGTCTTTGAGACGGAGAGCTCAAGGGCTTCACCGTCCTCAGCGAACGACACGTCATTGACCCTGTGATCGTCAGATAAAATCACCGAAACGCCCGTGAGAAGCTCACCGATATACCGATCGCTCACCCTCATCATTACAGCCCTCGTGGGACGTGATGATCAAACCACCATCCGCGTCATGACAGGCCGCTCGGGCGTCTCGTGCTGAAGAAGTATCCACAAAGTGTAGCTTCATCGTGTCATCCCCACATCGCACATCTTTGAGGTGATGTTCATGCTCTTCCAAGTTGAGTAGTGGTCTCTGCCCGCTGACTTTGACCTGCGAAGCAAATGTAGACTTGTCATTCCAGACGTTCTCATCTAGCGCATCGTCAGTAGTGGTAAGTCTTCAAGGTTGCTTCAACATACTGTCCACGTAGGCCAACTCAGACTCGAATCTCTTGGTGATCCTCACACCCCTCCGATACAGGTCTGTTCGTTTTGTAGCTGCTCGCAGCAGCCGATGCGTCTCAACGTCACCACCCGAGATCGCTGCAACTTCTGTGCTAAAGTATGCGATTAAGAGAACGGCAAACGCGCCGCGGAGGCTGGAGAAATGCATGTCGCGCGCGTATTAATCGAAAGAGAGGAGTTGAAGAAATATTCGTGCTCTTGTGAGGGCCAAGCAGGGTACGAACGACAACCCGATTATTAAAAGAATGTAAAGAAAACGAGCGAATGTAAAGAGCGTATACCTCACTTCGAAAAGTAATCTCGCCAGCGAGTGTAGACGACAAAGATATATAGAAAAGAGCCCACCGACGAAGAGAATCCACACACACCGAGAAGGAAACGGAAGATGCCTACCCCTACGAAGATCGGACGAGAACCAAGCCTAATAGAAAGCCCGACTCATTGCAAACCCCAGCACAGCCAAGCCAACAGGCTGTGGAGATCATACACTGCACGGTACCTGCATTTTTTGGCACTGCACAGGTTGTCTTTCGCAGCGAGGGCTGCACCACGTGTGGTAAGGCCCAAGATCCTCGGCCCGTGGTTCGCGTCGCATGTCCACGCGTGTGGTCTAGTCTATCGCGACCGTGGCGTGAATGGCATGCGCTACAGCTGTCATAGGCTCGGAAAGTAATAGGACAGCGGAGTAATGGTACGGGGGTGGGTTCTCAAACGGGGATTGTGTGAGAAAGGGTTCTGTTTGCCTCAGGTTCTTGTCCAAGCGGGCGGGGCGCGCCAATGGCACTAGCGCAGCACTATTCTGCTTTTCATCTCTTGCTGCGACAACCCCTGAGGCTTTTCTATCGGTATCTTCAATTGCAGGACTTTCGGAACTTTCGGCAGGTAAAAAGGGCCTTTGGTGTATTGGTAAGGGCTTCACATAGCTGAAGTTATGCCGAACGGTGTATTGGACGCCTTTAGACTACCTAGTAAGGTGCATCGCACGAAGGAGCTCGTCGACGTGGGATTTGACTCTTCTTCATGAGTAGCGCACGATAAATCCACTGAAGGATCAAATGCTGTGTACCATAAGCCCGAAAAAGCCCCAAAGGTGCCCAGATGGTGGCGCAGGCTTTAGGCGGCAGCCTTGGCCTTTGCCGCATCTTGAGAACGCTGACATGTGTAGCACAGTCCACGATACCATCAATTACCCTTTCGTGATTTCGACTCGCCCCACAGAATGCCGACGTCGGGAGATCCGTATGTCGATGTACCGCTCAATCTCGGAAAGAAGAACATCAGGCTGGTGACCCTGCAGCCCGGCGACGCGTCGGAATCCATCAAATGCAATCTGCAGAGCCACGCGCTGGATGACGAGTGTCCGGCATACGTCGCTCTTTCGTATGCATGGGGCGCCAAAGAGCGATATAACGATATTCAGATCAATGGCATGTCTTTCCCAGTCGGTCGCAATCTGTGGCACTTCCTCCACCAAATGCGTATGCAGCGTCAGGACGCCCTCTTCTGGATAGACGCCATCAGCATCGATCAAGCGAATGTACTCGAGCAAAATCACCAAGTGCAGATGATGAGAGAAATCTATACACAAGCTTGTTGTGTGTGGGTCTGGCTTGGCAAAGCAGATGATGCCACAATGAGCGATGTCGCGATGCAGTACTTGGACACGCGCGTTACTTTGAATGGCAAAGATGTCAATCCAAAGAAGATATGGAATGCACGCAAAGCAAAAGCTATATTGAGGCTGTGTGAAAAGGAGTACTGGAGAAGGATCTGGATCGTGCAGGAAGTCTTACTGGCGAAGGAAGTAAAGATCCTCTGTGGCGGCCGTTGCGTACAGTGGATCAAATTGCAGAAGCTCTTGGTCGACCTCCAGGCTATTTCGGATAGAGGGCGGTCTCTTCACGTCGTTGGCGTACCAGCCGTTCTTGATAGTCCAGCTGCAGTCATCATCAGGGCGAAAGCGCAATGGAATGGCGATCCCCAGCCACTTACACTATTGCTCGAGCAGTATCATAAACAACATTCGACTGATGTCAGAGATAAGGTGTACGCACTACATGGACTGGCAAGTGATAGTGGCGCCATATCCATTAACTATCGGATCGACCCGAAAGAACTCTTCGTGCAGATCGTCAAGCATGCATGCTCGTCGGTAGCACCCAAGATGGATATGAAGAGATCAAGGAAAAACCTAGTCGACTTTGCGAAGCTGATGCGAGAATCACTCAGGGTCTTTTGCGATGAGGAAGAGCTGATTGAGCACATCTCAGTGACTCAGTGGAAAAGCAGTGAGGCGTGCGGGAAACACCTGAAGTACGACTGGGCCTCAGTACCTCCTACCCCGCAGACAAATCAGATGTCCGACGACATATCTCAATTGGTGGCCTCACAAAGATCAAGCACTCAACATTTCACCTCTCACAATTCTGCGCAAGCTACAGGCAACAATTCCAGCGAGCCGTCTCGCGCAAGAGCGCGCGAATTAGTCAGAATACGCAGTAACGGACTTGCTTGTCAAAAGGAAGGCTGTGGCAGGACCTTGGTCGATGCGCGAGATCTCCGTCGTCATATGCGAATGCATGACGAACTTACTTGTCAAAAGGAAGGCTGTGATATGGTCTTGCTCGATGGGCAAGATTTCCTTCGTCATATGGAAATGCATGATGGCCAAATGCGTAAATGCGTCGTTGACGACTGTAGCGACCGCTTCGACCACGAGGACAAATTGTGGAATCATATCGAGCGCTTTCATCAAGACTGGCAGTCTCTTCAAGCCTTGCAACCTTATCCAGATGTATTGCAGATACTATCTTCTATCAGAGAAGATGTTTGACACTTAATATCGCGATAATCTGCGGGCACCCAAGCCATGGTATAGATACAGTCAATGACGCGTTGGGCGGTCATGTGTGCGCCTGTGTACTTGAAGCTCAGACCAGATGTTGACCTTGTATATACAGTTAAGAAAATAGTTCTATACAAGAAGCTAATGATCTCTCCACGTAGAATGCAGCCCCTGTCTCCTCCAGCCTAACGCCCCTCTCACGACGCAGCACCAATCCCCTCACCCACCGGACAACTCGGCACATCCGCCTGCCAAGCAACCTTCGCATACGCCGGCAAATAGCTATTAGTCGTAAAGCTCTCATCGATATAGTACTCCACCTGGCTCAGCGCAAAGTCACCACCAACATCAGGCTGGTTCAAAGCGTCAACGATGTAGCTAGCGATAAAGTCCAGAAAAACAAGATCAACAGTCTTTGGCATCGACCCATCGAGCGGGAAGGAAGCGTTCGCCTGGAGATCATTGGGTTGAGAGTAATTAGGGATGGTTGAGTGAACGGTGTCATCTCCGTCGGTGCCGAAGTCGTCTTTTGTCGTGTAGCCTGGGTTGGGGGCTGTGGATTGACGGCGGATGAGACGGCCGCCTTGCTTTGAACGGCGGGTAACTCCTTCGTAGTGGTGGGTGAGTGGCGGGTCGAGGCAGGCGTCTCTGTCTGCGAGGATGGGGCTGAAGCCGAAGTCGGCGGTCTCAAGGTCGCGCTTCTTCTTCTGGAAGGGACCGGCGTTTAGTATGCCGAGGACTTGGGAGGCTTGCTCGTAGGGTACGTCGGGGATGAACTGGAAGGCATCTTTGAATGGGGAGACGATGAAGGAGTCGTCGTAGGTGAAGGGGCCTTTGGCGAGGTCGAAGCGGACTGATCCGGTGTTGATGATGATGAGTCTGGGGATGTCCTTGCGCGTCTCGTTTACGACGACGGTGGCCAACGCTGTTTGAAGGAGTCCGAAGATGTTGCCTTCGGCTAGGAATGGCTTGCAGTACTGGCAGTATGTCGCTGGGGCGCAACCATACAAATCAGTCAAGTTAAGCTTGGCTCGTTCCGATGTAATCTCATTAGTAACGCTGACACCGGCAGATGTGTCGAACGCGGTGTATCGTTGACTTCCCTTGGCATGGTAGGCAAATGTGTTACGGTTCCAATCAAGGTATCTTCGCGCGTAGCGGAGAGTGGAGTTGGAAGTAGACGTAGGCAGATGTGCACTAGCCGATGCAGTTCCAGTGCTTGCCGGTACTACCGCGCTGCGTGTCGGGTTAGGTACACCTTTAGGGTTATGCTGCGCCTTGCAGGTCTTCGATTCAATGCCAGACATGGCGACCCAGCCTAATGTCTCGCAGTAACGACCTAAGACTATGTTAGCCACTTCTTTCAAAGCACGTCCAAAGTACATACCAGACTCAATTCCTGTAGCTTTGTCGTCGTATACGGCAAAGTCTCGGATGTGGGTATGTCCACCAAAAGCTTGAATGGGTACGTCTGGTTTCATGCTGCGGATGGCTTTGAAGACAGTACCCATTGTACTGCTAGAAACGCTGGTGCGCACCGGGTTGTGGCCGGTGATTACGAACAAATCGATTGGCTCGGTATAGTTGACAGCCTGTTGGAACCACGGCTGCTTCACCATGTCGGCTGCTTTGATGACCTTGGAGACGTTGCTGTTGCCGGTGAAGTCGAAGAGGACGCCAAAAGCCATGATGCGGAGCCCTAATTCTATCAGCATATTGTTAATTTCACGATTGATCGACTTACCCTGCTCTGTGGTGAAGTAACGGTAACGAGACCCAATGTACTCGAACTGGCCAGTAGCAGGGTTCTTGATCTGCACATTGCTAGTGAGGTACTTGTCGCCATAAACCTTGGAGAAGTTGTTGAAGGTCTCGTAGGCAATTTCGGTAACATAGAGCTCGTGGTTTCCAATGGTCAACAGATCGTAATCAATGTTTTCGAAAATGGCGTTCGAGACGTTGCCATTGGGAGTCGTCGCGTCGCTAAGTCCAGCACCGTCATGTAAGTCCTATGGTACGTTAGTCGAGTTGTTACTTTCATCAACCACGTGCGCAGCCCTACTCGTCCCCAGGGCCTTATGGCAGACACTAACCCCTGTGTCTACCAGAAGCAGATCGACCCCTAGGTTCCGAGCCTTCTGCTTCATGTGCTTGGTGAAGCTGGCGTAATCACCCCAATCGGCCCCATAGTTCTGTTCCTTGATGTGACCTTCCAGCCATCCATGGGTATCCGTGGTATGCAGGAAGTTGATCTGACCCCATTCCAGTGGCGCTTTCGGTGTTGTGGTCGCATTCTGCGCGTCCGGCTGCATGCGACGAACGTTTCTGGTCAATACGACATCATCTTTCAGCGGCCCGTAGCAACTGTTATGACCTTCGCAGGCTAGCGCCGGTGCTACTGTCGCGATGAAAGCGCCAAAAGCAAGAGACCGCATGATGAGGACCAGGTGAATGACAGCGCGCGATGATAAGCGTCCAGGGCGTCATCTTCTTATGTAGCCTCATGGCTGGTACGCGTACGTGCATCGCCGCTTCGGCTGTCTTACCCATGCCGGCAAAAAAAGATGCCCCTAGAGGCGGAAGCGGCAAAACCGCACGTGTAACGGTCATTGGAGAAGAAGATAAGCTTCGGCATGGTTGTGGACAAGCCATGCCAAAAGGCTTGATCGAGGCCTTCTCCTTCCTGTTGGGTGACAAGCGCGACTTTAGCGTTCCGAGGACCGGGGCGTGGCATCGCACCTCTCCGATGGTTCTTCCCAGCCATCTCCCGTATCTCCACGTTATCATTCGCCAACTCGCTTTCACCATCCTGTTCGGAATGCGGCTCGTACCTGATACTCTTGAGAGGCCTCTCAATCGCGACGATTACTCAACCTGAACAATGCGTGCAATACGTCACAAGTCATGGTATCTCGCTGGAAGACAAGAAAACTTTACTCTTTTAGATTGCTCCCATCGCGGATTTCGTGTTCGACCATCTCTTCCGAGCTGGCTTTCTGTCACCATACGATAACATCAGCATATGGCATGGCTCTGAACTACACTACGGAGATCGCGGTGTGCAGCTTCCATGACTTATCCCCGAGCTCCAACCCTGACTCAGGCTTCGTCTTTTAGCGAGATCATTCCCGCAGCGGAATGAAGAGCCCAGTAGACGACCTTTCACCTCCTCCTCAGTTCTGGAAAGACATTGTTGTGGCTAAACAATGATCAGCTATGTGAAAGTACATAGCAGCACTGCATCAACTACAAAGCAAGGTACCTCCTGTGCTATTTCACGCTTCAACCCAACTTCTCGTTGCAATTCTCAACATAGCGACTAGATCAACTTCGCAGTCATGGCCAACCCACGGTGTGCCACTTGCGGGACAGTCGCTGTCCGTCCGGATCCAGACCAGCCTCACCTCAACGCCAGGTGGTACAAGAACCACCTATTAGCTGACATTAACATCAAATACGGCGACCATGGTGAGAAGGAGTTCGTCGGTCATCGTCTCGTCTTTTGCTCAGTGAGTGAATGGTTTAAGAAGGCATCCAAAAACTTCAAGGAAGCCAATGATCAGGTGATAATTCTAAAAGGCGACCATCCGGAAGGCCTAGAGGCTCTGTTCGAGTACGCGTACAAAGAGGAGTATCTCGAAACAGTCGATGTTCCGGATGAGTTGACGGAGCTACGAGAGCGGTTCAAGCATCGTCTGCGTGTCTTCGCAGTAGCCGATAAGTATCAAGTAGAAGGCCTAACAGCTCTAGCCTATCGCCAACTCAAGCAGCTCGTGGATCTCTTTACTGAGCCAAGACGGACCTACGGTGACGAAGATGAAACGACAGCATCTGAGTTCTTCAGATTCATGTTAAGGCAAGTGTATCATGATAACGAGCGATACTTTCCAGCTCTGCGGGACGACCTGCATCAAACCGATCAGACCGCGGAAGGAAATTCGCACACTGACCCATCTGAGACTGAGCAAACCAGCTCCACGTCTACTGAGAACGCTCCTGTACGCGCTACAGCTCAGCGGCACAATCCCGCGCGGGAGACAACATGCAACCCACCGAACCCACATTCACCCGAAGGTAGAAGTTCGCACCACCCTCTCGATCGCGTCCAGGATCTTCTTGTGGAAGGGGCCATGAATGCCTGGGTCAACGCGCATCCGGACTTCAATCGTCAGCATCTTGTGCCTCTTGCGCAAATGTTCCCGGATTTCGGCACGGATCTCATTGTTGCAGCGCTGAAGTCGTCGCGCATAGAAGGTTTGCCGGAGTACCTATATGAAGACGAGGACTACGAGGGCTACGATGACGGCAGTGACAATGAATGGCTGAGGGCCCAAATCTTGTGAAATCTGGCTATCTTGCAATGGAGATGGAGACAGCCCTGGAGGTATGTAGGCGCGTAGCTTAATGACGCAATACATGTACTGTTGAAATGTATACGAATTCGCGATACTGTTCTTGTAATGCGACATAGTGTCCTCATATCTGATGCATCTAATGCGCTGCCAATGATAGCAGCGCGCGTGTCGAAAGCGATGGAGTGAAAGTGAAGTTGGTCGAAGCTTCTCGATGACGAGCTGGTCCGAACGCGACATGCCACTTGAGCCCCGCAGTGCTGCGGACAAGGTGCAGCCTCGAAGCACAACACAAACACTCGCCGTAGCACACGACTCAGACCTCGGCCACGATGGTAATCAACTACAGCAAGTGGGTGAGTCATGCGCTTCTACCATTGTAATAGACGCAGCTTCTAACAGTTACTAGGACGCCTTAGAGCTCTCGGACGACAGCGACATCGAAGTGCATCCCAATGTCGACAAGAAATCCTTCATTCGCGCCAAACAAGCCCAGATCCACCAAGAGCGCGACCACCGCCGCCACCAGATAAAGACGCTCAAGTACGAGCGCATCATCAACGATGGCCTTACCGAACGCGTCGACCGCCTACTCACAGCGCTGAAGTCGCACAAGGACAAACAGGCAGAGGGAAATGGCCAGAACGATGACCAGCTCGTCTTCCAGGCGATGATGGAGAGCATGATGGACATGAAGATTGACAAAGACGGAGGTTCAGACCGGCCGCCGCCACCACCAGAGGGCGTACACGAGCACATCAAGGACAAGCCCACATACCCGCAGATGATGGCAAGCTTAGTAGACGCAGTGAAGAAGGACATTGACGAGCAGAAGAGCGAAGAGCCGCGATACACACTATTCATTCAGGGTCTAGAGAAGGAGAAGGCGCGCATACAAGACCTCCAGCAACAACTCCTCGCCAAGCTAGACGAGCTAGAAAAGGAAGACAAGAAGCACATCACGAGCGACGACATCCACGAAGGCTTCAGCTACTCCAACGTCAAGAAAGCCGAAGAAGAGAAGAAGAAAGCCGCCTCATCCTCCTCCTCATCGAAGAAAGAGCCCGCCGTCGAACTGCTCAACAACCCCTCCCGCCCCTCCGCCACCCGAACAGACACAGGCCAGTCCTCCGGCGCAGACGGCGACATAGAAGAAGGCAGCGTCGCCGAGCCCACCGGCGCCGATTCCGACAACGAAGACGACATCACCGCCTCACCCCTCGCCCAGCAATTCGCCAAAATAAAAGCCGGAGACTGGTACGCGTGCCTCCAGTTCCTCATGGCACACCCGGAGATCCTCGCCGAGAAGGAAACAGACGGCCTCCTTGTCGAAGCCTTCAACTCTGAACTCGACGGCAAGCCCAAACACGCACGGCAATGCGTGCACCAAGGTCTTCTTTTGCAGTATTGTAGGCAGCTGGGAGGCAGACAAGGCGTAGAGCTCTTCTTCAAACGCATACAAATAAAAGACCACCAAGCCGGCAAAATGTTCAACGACGACGTCGACTCAACCTACCACCGCATCAAAACGCGCGCCGCCGAGATCCTGAAAGAACGCGCCGAGAACCCCCAGAGCGAAGGCGCAGGCGTCGAGCAAATCCAACTCCACGCCGTAGACCCCGGCACCACCATCAACATCTCTGTCCCACCCAAAGAATCACTCGCCACGGACCCCGCAGAGAAAGAAGCAGAAGAGCAAGCGAGACAGATCTTTGAAACCTTCCCGCCGGGTCTGCAGCGTGCGCTGGAGAGTGGGAAGCTGGATGAGGTGAACAAGGTGTTGGCGAAGATGAGTGTGGATGAGGCGGAGGAGGTGGTGGAGAAGTTGGGGCAGGGGGGCATGTTGAGTTTGGAGGAGGGCGTTATTGATGCGACGACCGAGGAGGGACAGAGGGTTATGGGTGAGATTGAGAGGAATAGGAAGATGCCGGGTCAGGGACAGGCGCAGGAGCAGGAGCAGGAGCAGGGGGCTAGTAGGATTGAGGAGGTGGATTAGGAAAGGTGAGGGTTTGTGGTGGGGATGGTATTATGAATTATGGGAATGGAAATGGTATGGCATGGTATGGTATGGGATGATGGGTCCTGTAATTGTACATTATGATTGATGATGGTATCTGAAAATAACTGGTTTTGAGCAAAATTCTTAGATATGTCTTCTGATTGTTCCGGTAGCTTTGCCTTGGATCCCGTCCACCATCTCCCATGTTAAACCTGCAAAATTCCCACTTCGCCTATGCTGAGACCCCGTCAATATCGTACATCGACCCTTAAACCCTAGACGCCCTGTGCAGACTAAATTACAAGCCATGCAGTACTAAATGCCACTCCCGCGCTACAACATATTCATTTTAAAACTACCATTCCATGCATTGCCTGCCCTAGCATTTTCTTTCAAGAACATACCACGAACTGTAGCTACCCCCGGTGTCCCAGTGCCCTCAGATCAGCTCAGCAAAGTTGTCGTCGATGCCAGCCATATCCCTATCCCCAGCAAAAGCCGCAAAGTCATCCTCACCAGCATTCCTGCTCATCTTCCTCTTCTTGTGCGCATTCTCGTACGCATGATGTTGTCCGTAAACACCACCTTCAGCAGCACCCAGTGGCGCATGCTGCAAGCTCTTGAGCAGATCGGCGGCTATGTGCTGGTTCGGCTCGCCGATAGCGGTCGCGTATTCGGGCTGGGTGGTGTGTTGCGCAGGCGCAGGCGCGGTCTCTGGTACGATGGGGTGGGCGGCGGGTTGCGGCATTTCGTCGTCACGGATGGTGGGCACAGGGTCGTTCTGGGGCGCGGGTGCGAGGTGTGGTGAGCCGACGGGTGTGAAGGATTCCATGGGCGGGGGCGTGAGTTCCTCGACTTCTGGTCTTTCCTGCGCACCTGAGAAGGTAGCGGCGACGGGTGAGGTTGTAGCGACGGGGAGGGGTGCGGTAGAGATTCTGTTTTGCTCTGCTGCTGACAGGCC